CAATGCAAATCACTTCTGTGTTTTGATGCCGTATGGATTTGCATTCTGTTCATTAGCAAATTGATCAGAGTCCAAATAATTTTTATCAGTGCTGAACTAGTAGTTTTGTTAGTCATCTGCAGCGTATTCAATGTTTGCTCATGGTGTCCTATTCCAGTTTATGCCTCAGACGGGAAAGCAAAATAGTTTGATATTCACAAATTTGATTTAAACCAAGAGATATGTATATATGTGAATAGTATGTGTATCAAGTGGTTCTATTACTCATGCGTATTTCAGATATATTAATTTTTTTTACTTTGGTTGTCTGTGCTCAAATAAAGCATTTCTCGCTGCTCTGCTTCGGAAGTGTGGTCAGAGCCAGGAGCATGGCTTACATGCACAGACAACAGATGAAGAGATGGGATGCAAAAACTGCTTAAAAATAAGGACATAACCTTTTTTCAGATCTGTGTGGCAATTGAGTCCTGGGCCCTAATTTTTCTTTTAACATATGTTTGTAAAAAAAAAGACAAAAATTACCCATGAGTATTTCTTAATGAGTTAGAAAAAATGTGCACATCTGGGAGGAAAAAAAAAGATGGCTTTATTAATTAGTAGTGGTGAATGTATTGTTTTCGATCTTAATGGAGAAGTTTGTGTCAAAAATTAGGGAATATGTGGTCTACAAAGAAGATAAACTATTTCAACAAGTTATAAGTTACCACTGTTATTTTCTTTACAAAAATTTAAACACTTTTTTTTACCCCATCATGACATGTCAGCAGTTGTTCACACTGGAACTGCATATTATGAAAGCCTGCTGGAATAATACTATATGCATTTTTATCCTAGTAGACAATCCCGTGTAACACATTATTAGGATTTTTTAAATTTTTTTTCAATATGTTTTTTCATACGCATTTCTGGTTTGTGTTTAACTTACAATTAAGACAGTATTTCTTGTTTTAAATATCTAATTCAGCAGAAAACATTCAACTGGTTTTATACGCAGATGTTTTGTAGAAAATGATGGAATTATTTCAGGGTTTTCTAACACTGTTTCTGCTCTGAATTAAGCCAATGGACAAAAGCTTGTCTACCAGTATGATGCTTTCTGTCATAAAACACACTGTGAAATATCAGCCCTGTCATGAATCTCCCCGGCTCAGAAACAGGAGGAAGGAAGCGTAACAAGAAGTGACCTGTGAGTAGGAGAAATGGGAATTCCATCCAGGTTTGCACAGCCTTGTTCCAAACTTCTACCCCCTGGTCCACACAACCCAAACTGAACAGCTCATCTTCATCCTGCAGTGTGAAATGTTTCGGGTGGCACATTATAGAAGTCTCTGGATTATACCATTTTTAACAAATGATGTATTGTATCTACAGTGGTTTTTTTTTTTTCAGAAACTATAATATTCAGGCTGTTCTCCGCAGAGGATATTTCCTGGCATGGCACGGTGCAACAGTAGGCAGAGGTACGTGAGCTAGCTATGAACAATTTCGCCAGCTAACACTGCGTGTTCCTGACAGCCCTGTTGAGCACTGATGGATACGAGCTTGGATGGAGCACTGCACCACTGAGCCTGTCTGGCTTCCTGGGACAGTGTGGTCTGACTTGGCAGGGGTAACATCTGTCTGAGACAGAAACAGATTGATCCTACCTCAGATTAATCCTGCCTGGGATAATACCCTATTCCATGCAATGAATGGGAATTCAGTGCAAGTAGGTGAAACTGCTTACAACTGCTGAAGTTATCCCACCTTTTAGCATTCCATGAAGTTTGAAATGGGGAAATCATCATTCTTGTGAAATTGCTTATGTTCTAGTGATAATAATTATCAGATCACCTTTGGAACATTTAAGAAATTGTGCTGCAAAAATTATGTGAAGATAGCATTGGAAAAGTCAAGTAACATCTGTTGAAAAATAACCTTCTTTTCAGAAAAAAATGAGAAAACTTTGAGCCTGAAACATTTCTGCTAGCTTGGATGATAATTTCTCTCCTGAAAAACCAAGGTTGTCTGTGCTACTATATGGTGAATATATTGCTGCAACAATTCCTTGTTTGCTTTCTAAAGTGTACAAATTCATGTGAGAAGGAAGAACTTGTTTAAGTTCAGCTGTAACAGTACTTCGTGGTCAGCACAAGGAAGTCCTTAGTTGGGATTGCCTCAATAAATAATAACTTCTTCTATGTGACTATTCTGGTGTATTCCAGCAGTTTTCTATATAATTTAGAAGGTGCTTTTGATTCATAAATAAATGCTTCTTGCAGGGTTATCTTCACTCCTTTTTTCCCTGCACCGCTACCATGGGCTCCAGTGATGTATTCATACTTGGGTGCAAATCGAGAGGTGTTCAGCTTCTGTGTCATTCTGGTTTTGCCCATTGGACCTGGACATTGCAAAATGAGTGTTTCGTTTTGTCCACTTCCCGAACCTCAAGCTTAGCCTCTTCCCTGTGTCGCCACGCCAGGCAATGCAGCAGCACCACCCTGTGGGAAATAACATTTCTTCTCATTCATAAGACTCTAGGTGAGAACTAGAAGGCAGTGTTTGCACAGAGCATCCCCGGGTGGTACTCCGGGTCAGTGCAATCGTCCAGAGCCAAAAGAAGGTAAGGCACAGCAAATACATTTCTTGCATCAGTATGCCTCACAGTCAATTTCTTTGATGTGGAGAAAATTGAACTGCTCTTACTTTTCATAAAAATTCAGGCTCACGTTTTTATCGAAATACTTTATTGCTGCTTCTTATTTCTGCAAGGTTCATTTTCCAGAAGAGAGGCAGGAGAGGCCCTGGTGGCAGGGTGTGGAGGGGAACATCGATGTGATACCACAGCTTTAGGAACCTGCACTACCTCTTCCTCGAATTCTTCCTTGCTGCCCTCCATGCCCTCAGGAGGGTTTGGATGGAAACGATGCTGATGTTAGAAGCCTCAAGGTTAAGAAAGGCAGTGAGGTTGCCTAACGTACCCTTTAGCCCACATAACTGAGCACAACACCATAGGTAGTTACCAATTGCTGACTTCAACCCTACTGTTGTTCCTACCAGCCTTCAGGAGTGGTGTGCCAGTCCTGCTCCCAGTCCTTCCTGTCCTTCTCCCTCCCTGCCCTTCTCCCTCCCTGCCCTTTCCCTAGGCACGGTGTCCTGGTTTGTCTGGGACGGAATCACAGCCCAGCCATACTAGGGCAGGCTGCTAGCAGTTTCAAGTCAGCCAGAGCAGCTGAGCTGAGTCAGCTACAGATGTAGTCCATACCATAATGTCATCATTATAAAGGGGGAAGGTTTGCTGGGGAAGGGAAGCTCATGTGGAGTTCCTCCTGGGGTCCTGCTTGAGTTCCTTCTGCTTGTGAGAACTGTGATGGCCAGATATTCTAGGCTGAGTATAATGTTGTATACTTTATTAGTTTTGTTGTTTCATCATTAAATCTGTCCTTGCTTCAGCCTTCAGATCTCCTCTCCTTTTCCTGCTTCCCCTTCTCGACTAGGGAGGAGTCATTGGGTGATAGAATAACTGCTATAGTTTAGCCCCCGGTATGGGCTAAATGTAGACACAGAGCCACCTTTCTTTGTAAAAGAGAAGCTAGCAGGTAGCTGGAAAACAAGAATGGATTTTTGCCTCAGCCCTTTCTTAGGAAGAAAGTGTGGCTGTATTATGTGTATCGTTAAGCTCCTGATCACTTTCACTTGTATTATGAAAGATTCTTTGAAGGAGAGCTGAGAGGGGAGAGGTTTCTTGGTGCTTCATGATCTGGCATCGTATTTTACGCTCCTCCAGGCCTGTCATCCTGTCTGTACATGGGCCTGCTGTGCGGTGACAGGAATGCTTCAGGATGGCTGGAAACAAAAGTGCGCATCCTTCCTGATGGGCTCTGTCACCAGTTTGCTTCATTCTACTCTACTGGCTAGGGCTCAGAAGCGTTTTGGAAGTACAGCATTAGTTTTCTCTGAGTACCATGATCTCTTATACCAAGGTACAATACTGTGGAATTAGGCTGGCCTGTTGTAAAGAATACTGACTTTCAGGTGGATATCTGAAGACAGTCACCTCTTCCACTCCTTCTCTCTGTCCTTTCTTTCATTCATGTAGAGTCTGTGGGCACCCATCCCTTTTCCCACATGCTCCTTGCATTCTGCTGCTTTGGCATCTCAAAGACTGCCTTTCCTTCCTCTACAGATGTTTGCTGTAGCAGTTCCCGAGAGCGTGGTTTTGGGTAAACTAGATGGATGTTGTTTTGTGCAGTTTAATTCTTTGGTGCAACATCTCTGAAGCTAGCTTTGCTGAGAGTTCGGGGAAATAAAAGGGGCTATCTTCTGACTTTCATATCCTGCCAAAACTTTATCCCTGTTACTTTTTCAAATGGCCATTTCCCTTTCTTTCATCTACTAACGTGAGGATTGGTCAGCAGAGAGATAGCAGAAGCAAGTTTATGGATGCTCTTTAATAGTTCACAACAATAATACATATTTTGTAAGCTTTCCAGTGAGCTAGCCAAACAGTGGTTATTTTCCATAGTTAAACAACATACAAGGCAGTAAACTGAACAAGCCTTTAACAAAAGTCTTCCAAGTAACACTAAAAAAAGACTTTTTTTTTAAATTTGAAAAAGTATCAGAAATTCCATTTGTGTATAAGCATGCATTTCAAGTGGATAGATGACATACTACAATATGATTCCCTTATCTTTTTCTCAGTAAAAGGTAAGATCTGATTTCTAGCTCTACAGACCATCACTGTAGATCTGTGTAAATCACAACGTTTACACCAGCGTTAGCATTGAAGGCTAAGATAGTTTAGCTATTATTTAGTCTTTCCAAGCATGCTCTCTGTTGGTGAATGAACAAACAAGTGAACAATCATCATCTGCAGTTTCTATATTATCACCAGAAAGTGATGCCACCAGATGTTTCATCTGGTTATAACTTCAACATCAAAAAAAAAAGTTTTGAGTGTCTGTTGAAATGTCCTTGGGTTTGGGTGTGTTTTTTGGTGTGAAGGATTTTTGGGAGCTTTAGCTTGAGACAGAAAGTTGTAGTTCATATAATGCATTCAGATATTCTTCATTGTCGGGATGCAACGTAATGGCTTTCTTATAGCACTCAATTGCTTCATGTTTCTCATCATTTAGATGATGAACAAGTCCAAGTGTACCAAAATCTGTTGCATCTCCTAACCCTCCCTGAATTCTCTTTTCCAGCAATTTCTTCAGAGCATCTCTGCACTTACAGAAGAAATAAGACTCTTTTTCAATTTTCAGCCCTTCTGTGTAATACCTAATGGCTTCAGATTCTGATTTCATATGAAAATGCTGAAAATTGCCATAAACGTAGCAGAATTGTTGTTTATCCTTATCGGATAGAATATTTATCTGAGATGCTTTCTGAAATGTCTCTTCTGCTTCTTCATACATCTTTCTTTGTGCATACATGTCTGCTAGATCAGTATAGGCAGAAAAAAATTTTGTCTTTTGGTCAATTGCTGTTTTAAAATGAAAAATGGCAAGTCGGATGAGTTCTTCCACTTGCTCTTTAGGTGGGTATCTTGTAGTCCTTTTCAATTGAATCAGCTTTCCTCTGTAGCAGAGTCCTATCTGGTGATGCAAAAAGACAGATCTTGGTGTCACTGCTAGGGCCTTTTTCAAAATCTCCAGTGCCTTGTCCATTTCTCCTTTCCTTCTGTAAAATTTAGCAGCATACCGCAGGACATAAGGAAGATAATGGGTTTTCTGCATTGCTTCTTCAATGTATCTCTCCCCTTCCTCAACTTGCTTTAAGTCCTGAAGTTTTAATGCAAGTAATGTCATAACGAAAGTGTCCTTCGGATTCAGTTCCACTGCATGCTTCAGGGGCTCGAGGGACAGGCTTGTACCCTCGATTTTCTGCAAAAAATAATCTTCCAAACGATACATTGTTATGGCATAGCCGGCATTAAATTCGGGGTTGTTGGGTTCATCCTTCAGAGCATTTTCAAAGCAATCCTTTGCTCTCTCATAGTATTTTTTCCCAAACTTTAATAATGCCCATCCTTGCTCAGCATAGATCTCTGGAAGCTGAATCTTCTTCCATTGAGCAGTACCTGAAAGCTTTTTGCAGCCGTTTTCCACTTTGCTTACGTAAGTTTGAGCTTCTTTATATCTCTCCATGTAGTAATAGATCCAGGCATAGTTACCCCAAGTAACAAGACTTCTCCTGGCAATTTCATCTGGATGATTTTTTTTAACTACTTCTTCAGCTTCTTGGAGAATTTTCAGGGCTTCATCGTTTGAATCCTTTAGGTGGTATACATAGGATAGTAGATTATAATTTCTGATGTTTGATTCTGCGAAAAACTCTATCTGATCACCTATTGTTTCCTCTAGGTGTTCAAGATCCACATCCTGCTTCAGCAAAGTCCATGTAAAATGGCATTCTATCTGCAGCAGGGAGCTCTTCAAGGAATTCTTGGAAACGGTACTAGAAGAAATCAAAGAAAAACTTACTTATACTCCATTTGCTTTTTGCTACTCTTGTTTTTAAACCAGGCATGATGTACTTCAAAAGCAGGCAATACCTTAGCTGGTGCCACTAGTCAACAATACTTCAAACAAGCCAAAGCTGTGGGAAGCTGTGGGTCTAAAGAGCTGAATAGTTATTTTAGTAATTTAGCAACAGAGCTGGTGGTCTGGATGTCAAAGAGGACATGGTAGTCTCTATGTTAAAGCTGGCACACCTCTAGGCCGCAGGAACAAATTTCCTATGCTGAGAGCAATTGCTGAAGCCTACCCAAAAGAGGTAATAAAATAAAAAACTTCCCCCAAAATATAAAGTGGTATAGTGCCTTTCCCATGTCTGTGTATTTTATGGTTTGGATTATAAATTTCACTTTGAATTTCCTGCATTTGTAAACACTTGTTTGTTAGATCATAGCACTATTTTTTTGTTGTGATTATGCTGATGTATTTAGTAGCTGGCTCCCAGATCCCAGCAGTCTCCCCAGTTGCTGGCACTTGAGCGTTACAGCCTCCTGAGGGTGCAACCACACTCCCCTTGCTGGTACAGACCCCACACTCACTCACTCACCCTATGGATCCCTAGAAGATGGCTTTGGACATCCTCAGGGATCCTCTCTATACCCAGGTGCCTCACCCTCACAGACAGAGACACATGCACAAGCATAGCGATCAGACCCTGTTTACATACAAGTGGTCCTCAATAGCCCTTTATCCCTCTCTGCTTTTCAACATTGTTGTTTTGATGATTTCCCTGCCCTTGGTCCCCTCCCCAAACATCCCATACTAAGTCTTGTGCAATCCCCAAATGCTTTCCCTTGCATCCCGTAATGTGTTCCGTATTCCTAGCTAGTTCAGACTTGCAAGATGCTCATGTGGACCCCTGGTGCTGGGTGTCCCCCAGCCCGTGGGGCTGAGGGTCCCCTGGGGCAGCCCTGGGAGGGCTGGGTGGGGGCTTGTGTCCTTGACTGGGGCATTGTGCAGCCCCTGCCTGCCCTTGTGCGTCTGTGCTCCTCCATGCGCATGGGGATGGGATGATGACTCTTGGGACAGGGCTGGGAACAGCTGGGGCAGGGTCTTATTTGGGTTCCCCCTGCTGCCATTGCCTGCCTGTGCCCCTGTATGGGTGTGCAGACAACCTACCAAGGACAAACCTTTACAACACAGAGGAGGTAAAGCTTTAGCCCACATAGTGCTCTCCCTTAAAGAAGGAATTTTACATGACTAAAACCAAGAGTTCTCAGTCAAACCATTCTTTGTTAAAAAGATCTCTTTGCTTTCCCTCCTGTAAAACCTAGATGGTCTAACAGCCTGTATTGTATAACATGTGCTGCTGCTCAACTGCAAATTCATACACAGGAGGAGATGTATTTTGGGTAAAAAAAAAAAAAAAAAGGAATGACTGGAAAGACTGGAAAGTAATGAGGCAGCAAATCAGGGAGGAATCAGGAAGCAATTCTTACAGCTTCTGGGACAGTGGGAAGGACACCGGGGAAAGCAACGCTCATTACAAGTTTTCACCCAAACCATCTCACCTAGAGGTCCTGAAGGAAGGTCAGACAAAAATAGTATTTATAAATGCTGTTAATGCATAAGTTTGTCTTACAGACTTCTTTGCCTTTCTCAAATAATGAAAACCGGCTACAGGTGAATACCACAGAAGAACAGATACTGGCTCCCAAATCAGCAAAATATTGCAGGAATAGCTTGAAGCATTTAAGTAGTCCCATTCAATTAAAGATGAGATTAATGTTGTTTTCTATTGCCTCAGCTGAGAACTGTGAAAATTTGACTGGAAACAACGGTGAGAGTAATTAATGAAAAGGCATTTGTGGAAAATGAATATTCATGAATGTCACAAAAACAGACTTGTGATGCAGATTAAACATAGTTTAGCTTAGTTCAACACATAACTGGTAAATGCAATTTCTAGAGTTGTCATAAACATCTTGGCTTTGCCCTAGTTGAATGTGTGTTTGTGTGCCTCTGTGCATGCGTGATAGTCTTCAGAAAATGTTACCTGCCTTCTTACACTTGAAGGTGCAGCCCAGAACCTGCACTGCCCTGTTTGCTGGTCCTTGCAGTAGTAGAGATAAGAAAGTAAATTCTTAAATGCATCAATGCCAGTCACCCATTTGGCTGGGCAGCAGCTATGGCTGCAGCCTGGATTTCATCCCTGAACTGCATGCACACAGTTTTTCTGACTGTCAGTTCTGTTTGCAGAGACTGGCCCTTGGCAGAGAAGCAATAATATTACAATGTTCAATTGTATCTTTATTTTATTTTGATTCTTCCAGTAAACATTCTGTAAAATATTTTCTGCTGTTTTGATCCCCAAAGTCCCTCACTACTTACATTTATGTAAATCATAAGCATTATTTTCCCATGACATAGCAAAAACCATCTTTCAGAGCCTTACCTCATGGTTTTCCTTCTCTGCTCACTTAAGGTAGCTTCAAAGCCAAAGGCTGCTCACTGTTGTTATGACTTCCCTTTTATGTGCTCCAGCCCTCACGTGGTCGGTGAGTAATTTACCGAGAAATCAAAAGTGAAACTTTGGGTTGTGTCTGAATATACAAAAGGAGCGAGAACAGCCACCAGCAGGGGAATAGAAACTTAGGAGTCGCTGAGTCTGGCTCCGTGCCATGCATTACAGTGTGTTGTGGAGAATGTGGTAACAGCTCCTAATAGCTCCCAGCGTTTACTTTGTTCAAATCCAGAGGCATCCACGATAAGGAGAATATTTCAGGCTAGTATAGGCTGACCTGGTTATCATGCATAGGCTAGGGCTCATTTCCCCCTCCTGCTTCTGCTGATACATTTTTGCACAGTTTTGCACCATGCTTTAGGCTCCTGTTTTATGGATGTTGTGTCATCCACATAACACTCTCAGAACATCTTATCACACCTGCCTGGGCTCTTTCATCCTGTGTCTCCACATTGCAAGGTCTCTGCTGTTGTACCAGGCCTGTATTTCTCTGCGCTATGTCATTGTGTAAGAGTACTAAATATCTCATCCCACCTAGAACTACAGTTTGTTGCTGCTCTTTACATAAAACTGCAGTTGTACTGTGCAAAGATAAACAAAAGTTAAAAAAAAAATGCAGACAGCCAATTCAAGAAAATGCTGTCACAGTTGTGCCAAGCAAAACAAAGCTGCAGGCAGGTCAGCACAAGCTCAAACAGAGCGTGCCTGGCAGGCCTTGGTCCTGAGGCCATGCAAGCTCAGTGCAAAGCTTGTGGCCTGTTGCTAGCAAAGCACCGCTGTGTTACAGGGATATATGTCAACAAAAAGATGGGGCACAGGTTGGGTACTGGAGCACTATGCTTATAAACAACTCAGTGATGCTTAGTTTAAGAAAAAGTAAATGCAAGTGTGGCTTGATAAAACTGATTTTAGGGGTAACAAAGAGATCAAAGAAATAGTATCTAACATACATAGATGGCACTATATATAGTAAATTCAGATGCAACCTGAAGCTGCAGACCAGTGAAGAAAAAGAAAAGTGTAAAAGCATGTCAGCAAAGATATAAAAACGACCCAGAGGTGATCCTGGGAGGAGGAAGAAGAAACCACCACCGTAGCATCCTGTTTCTCCAAAGAAAGGATTCCAGTTGCTGATGACTGTTGGCATTATTCCCTCCAGCAGCCTGAAAGTGCTGATCTGAATGCCCAGGGGAGCACTCTCAGGGGAAGGAATAGAAACTAGGAAGTGTCCATGCCTCTGTGTGTGTGTAACAATTTTAACCATAATATTACTAGTCTTGTGACTTTTTCTGTAAATAAGTGCTTTAACTGCATTATTATTCTTTCTCTTTTTGTAATAATTAGATCTAGACCAGTAATAATTCTTGTATTAGACTAAGATTTTCATTATATTAACAAAAATCTTTTTGTCTTTACCTATCTATGAGATTTGCTTCCTCTTTACCCATAAACAAGATCTTTTAATTAACACCACAGAACCTCTCTCCATTCTTGAATCCATTCCACTTGAAAATGTGAGAGCATCTTAAGGAATATGTTAAATTAGATACTGTCTAATGTCCTTTCATAATTAATATCTGTAGAATTTGATCCCCTGCCCCCATTTTGTAGGAATAAGCAAATAAGAATGCTTATAAGGGTGCCTCACAAGGCTTCTTTTTGTTCCTGGTATATGACAGTGTCAGCTCCCCTTGTTTTGTGAGTTTTTCAGTGGAGGATGCACAAGGTTGTCCCTTTGTCTAAATAAGCTAGGAATTCATTTATATAAAACCTCTTTATCACCTCAGAACTGCTGCTGCTGCTGTCATGTTCAATCTCTGCACTTACAGACAAGAATTGACAGCATTACATGTCCCAGGTCTCTGTTGTCCTTGGTACATTGCTTGGTACCTAGCTTGGTACATATGGGAAAGTGCAGGAATTTTCCTTCTGGAATGCAAAAATTTGCCCTAGTATCCACATTTTTACAAATTTAGTTGCATCTATATGCTTTGGTTTGACACAAATGCCTATTGAATAGAATAAGTGCAGGAATGTGCTTAAAATGGAGTAATTGAAAGTAAGGGAATAGTTATGCAATGCCTTTCTGCAACCATCTTTGTAACTCGCTTGGCACAGCACAGGAAATTTCATAAATACTGCAGCCTTGCGGCTGTCACTTTGGGGAAAGCTGCAGCTGAGGCGACTGTTATCAGGGAGAGCTGTGTTGCATAGCAGCAGATGCAAGAGCTTCTTGGAAAACACTTGTCCAGAAATGGGCTGTAAACAACAACTGCATTCATATGTAATACAAAGACTTTGTTTACTTGAGTGCTGTGTTCATATACAAGAATAGGGAATGGCTTAAAAAATACCTATATATTTTAGGGAGAAAACTCATATCTGTACATTTCCTTGGAGCTGAAATGGATACCTGCTGACAAAGAATTCTCCCCTGGTATCATCAGCCCAGCCAAACAATTGCCTGAAATGCATTT